CTTCCTCTGCTGAGAGGAATGTAGCTTCCTCTTACTTCCTATAACTATTGTTTTGCTTGGTGTAATGTGAGTACTAAGCTTACCTGTAGTAGTTAGTATTAATATAGATTGAGGGGCATTTAAAAAAAAATTTTTTTGTGCTCTTAATTTTTTGTTATCACTTGTTATGAAGTTTCAGTTTCTTGGCTAGCCATATTGACTGCCTTAACTGGAAGGCTTTTTGTGTCATGGAAGATAAATGGGTTTAAAATACACTTTCAGAGCATTAGGGAATTGCTAATTACCTCAGTCTGAGTTTTGGGATTGTTTGAGGGGAATACCTATCAGATAATCTGGATCTTGTTAGCTGAACACACAAATTCTTAATGAAAATGTATTTTAGATCAAGAAATAGGTATTTTTAAGAAATTGTAGCAAATTTACTGTCTTTGTTATTTAGACTGACTAAGCAAAGTATAGTGACCTTCTATCCTAAAAGGAGGGACTTCTAGCTCACAGTGAGATATGACCAATAGTTCTTTGCTGCCCCTGCCCCCTCACCCCCTTTTTTTCCCCCTGATGCTAACATATGAGCAAACTGTAAAAATCACTACAGTTAATTTCTGGGGTGGGGAAAATAGTGTGCTGCACTAATGTTCATCTGTGTATTGATTACTGATCAAATTTAACTGGAACTGTTTAGATGCCTTCACTTAAAAAAAAAAAAAATCTACGTATGTTGGTATTTTCTGTTATTCCTCGTAGCAGAGTTCTGCAGTAGCTTTAATGAAAAAGGCCAGTTAGCTCTTTTAGTGCTAACTCTACAAGCTAAAGACTTAACACATATTCTTATTATGCCCTGTTAAAGTGAAAGCTCTTCTTTATGTCTACTGAGACTAATTTGACTAATAACAGGTCTACTTTATGTATTTACCATTTTGACTCTATGCTCTCCTTAGCACAAGATTTAATTTTGTTTTGGTTTGTGTTATAATAGTTTAACACTGTTAAGGTCCTCTCCGTATATGCAAAGGAGGATTAATATACCTTACCTTACAGAACATGTCAGACTTTATATGCACTCACCAGTCATCGGGAATCTTAAAAAATCAGTTCATGACTGATGACTGTATATTGCCATATATTTTGATTGCTCTTTTAAAGTGTTAAATGGTAGGGAGGACCAACCCTAATATATTTAAAAGCAATTTTAAAGATACAAATCTGTAGCAGATTAAGCAAGGAAATCTTGCTGTCATTCTCACCAGACTATCCTCTTCAGTTTTGTCTTTAAACTTTGTGTAGATAATGGTCATTTGGAAGTTGTTAGTATCTTTAATAAATGGTGAACACCCAAGTATTACTTGTCCATGGGTTTTAGGCTGACTTTAGGAAGCAATCTGGATCCAGGTTCTTTACATCTGATGACATCGTATGATTAATAACATTTGCTGTATCTTATGTTTCTTATTACTACTTGAAGAAATGAATGTCATTCTGCTTTTTTTGAAAACAGAAGAAAAATATCACTTTTCTTTAACATTACTTAAATATTATGCAGTCGTGTCTAGCATCAAGTCAGTAATTATTTTGAATTTATCTGTTCATGATCAGTCTGAATAATTCCTTTGTGTTGTCCTTCGTTTCTACTTTTTTCTTTTGTGTGCTGGTTTGGGTTTTCTGGTTGTTTTTTTTTTTTGTTTTTTTTTTTTTTTTCCCCAAACTTATGGCTTATATTACAAGTTTTGTAACAGCTGTGTATTTAATTGTGGCTTTCTTCTTTGGGCTTACCTGTGACTAATAGTAACCAGAGAAAATGTAAATTTTTAGAATCTAAGTTGCTTTATGTTCAGTATTTCCCACTGTTGAGTTGTTGTCATCATTTGGGAGAGTTTTTAAAGACATACATGTGTAATATAAATGTACCTCATGTATGTATGTGAATAGAAATTATTTGATAAAATTAAGAAGTTATTATATTTCAATGTAGCAGATGAATTGCAGAATAAACTTAGTTCAGATTTTCATAATAGCAGAGGATATTGGTTGGATGGGACTTCTGGGAGTTACCTGGTCCAACCTCC